AAAAAAATCCCCCAAACCTTTGAACTTCTGACAGACCCATGCTGATGTAGGTATACTAACTACTCACTTTGGTCCTGTTGATCCGAAGGACAGTTCTTGAAAGCAGGTTCTTGATCCTGCCAACAGGGTGAAGATCTGCTACAGAACAGATAAGGACAGTACTACTAGATTCCCCTCATTCACTCCTGAAACCGTTCCTGTTAAACAGAACATTCAATATCCCTGCTTAGTGAATCCTGTCCCACATGCTGCTGTGAACAGCACTTTCGGGAGCTGAAGCTGTGGCAACGTGGACTTGCCTTTCTCAGAAGTATTAATGTATTTTGTGTCAACAGCTACATGACTGATCTGGGATGTTCCCCTGCAAAGCTGGATGCAGAACAATATCCTTCTGTCCTTTGCTTGCACACAAACCAAGTGAAAAATTAAGTACATAAATCCACCCTGGGAAAGTGGTCAGTGAAAGGAAGGAGGGAGGCCCTGGTAGGTTGCTGTTACTTTCTATTCTAGTTAGGAGGACTGGCATTTGTGTATTCCCCGCCCTGATGAAAGGATAAAAAAAAACCCAAAGTATCACTGATGTCATTTAAAAAACCCTAAAAACATAACTATTTGGTTCCACAAGTACTAATTAAAAATACAGAAAAGTACTGAAAATTGAGTAAATAAACAATTTACCTTTAAAAAGGAAAGGGAAAAAAGCAAAACTATTAATGTAGAACACACTGAAAATGTTTGCATATGCCTCTGTAGTCTTCTTTAATGCTTTGGTCATGCCTCAGACCAGTTTCATATCAGAACAGCTCAAACAAAACGTCACAGGTATTAGAATGGTCCTTCTCTTTATGGTATCAGCCATTCCCAAATATGAAATATTTCATTTTAAACTTGAGGCTTGATAATTGTGAGAATCAGCTTTGACTTATTTCCAGACATCTAGCAAGGAAGGAATTTCTTGGCTCAGAGGTTCTGGCTTAACTTCACTGGTGTTTTATATGGCTAGAGCAATGTAAAAGACTTGAAAAACTTGAAATTTAGCTGAGGGAGAATATATACCAACCTTTGCTGTAAGAGAGAACACTATCAACCCTTGTTTCCAGATATTTGCCTGCCCCCCTTGGCAGCTCACACTTTTGAAACTACAGTAAATATGTGCACCAAAAAATATCTGACATACAAAGCAGTGCACTGCCATATCTCTTGTTAGAATCTGTGGGACAAAAAGTGGACCAGTTAGAGTGAGCAAAGACAATGATAATTATCCACAAATTACTTGGATCTTATTTCCCACTCAAAGAACTATCTCTGTGGGATATAATTAGTAAAATAGACCCATCTTTCATCAGGCTGCAAGCTGTGAAAAGTCGTGATCTTTATTCAAACCGGCATCTTCACTTTCTTAGATACTCAATGTGTTTGTAACTAGTAGCATCTAACAGAAACACGTTCTTAAAATTCCTCTGAAAATCAATCTGGATCAGTCAGGATTAAGTTAGGGAAAGTGTCCCCTCCTGAAACTTTAGAAACTCAGAGTTTTAGAAACTATAGTTGTTCTAACTTTATTGGATGGTCACTTGCACTTGCATGTACACAGGGCCTGTGACACTTTCAGAACCAATGGTCCTGCTAACTGGTGCTGACAGCAAATAATCTTTATTATGTGCTGAAAGGAGGCACAAATAGATAAAGATGTATTACAGCCATACTTTTAAGAAGGAATGAAGAGGTTAGCACAGATAATTTTGATTCTAAAACTCAGATTTTTTTTTTTTTTTTTTTTTTGTGCTTGAATTGTGCTTGTGATTTCTAAGCTTAATACTGTTCTTTGGTTAGTTTCTGTCTCTTGTTCTTAGGTACAGCCTACAGAGGGACACAAAAACCATTAAACTTGAAATTGGGCTGAGAGGATTTTTCCACCTGATCTGTGAGGAAGAGGTAACACCACTGAGAAGTCATCCATTTGGAAAACAGTGATTATTTGCCTCTATTTAACTTTTCCATCTTTATTTCCTTCTTTAGGTTTGCAGCAATGGTAGAGGAAGATGTAAATCACTGTGAAGGTTCTGAACCATCAGTATGTGAGAGAAATGGCATGATTCCTTTGCATGAGCAAAGTGAGGTAATTAACTATGATCTCAAACTATTGTTCTAGTCAGAAAGAACCCTCCTCCTCCTTTTTCCCTCTTTTAAGAATAAAATTCTTAATGTAAAAGGCACTTAAAAGTGAGCATACAGCATTGAGTGTATCTCATATAGATGTTTATATGGCACATCTTTATGCACATGGTGATCATGGAATCATGGGGTAAGCAAGTAACTCCGTGCTGAAAGCTCATGAGATTTGTGTTCCAGTCATGACTCTGAGTAAGGAAGATATATATATATATATATATGTAGAGAGAGAGGGAAGAGACAGAAAAATAATCAGAAATGTGGAACTATTGCTGGAGAAGGGCCAAACCACATTATAAGCAGAATTCCATGTCTACAGTATGACAATAAGCTGATATGAATAGTCATACAGGAAGGCAGATGATTAACTTGTCAAAAATAATGCTAAAATTAAGTGAGACATATCCAAAAATGGTCAAAAAGTGCTTTGGTTATGAATATGGATAAGTTGATGTACCAGTATAAGAGACCAGCTTCAAGGAACGTCAAGGGAGTAACTCCCAGGGTAGTATTTCTCCATCTCTACTTTGATTTACCAGCTTGAGCCTTCCAGCAATGGATCATGTGAGTAAAGCTTGTGCTGGCCAGCTGTGCTGTTTCTTTCATCCTTGTGTAGTTATTTTGGTTCAAGGCTTTGCAACAGAAGTTATTTAGTTGTTATATTAAAAGCACGATCTCACTGGAATGATGCTGAGCATTGACTGTATTGTGAAATCCAGTCTAGAAACAGAATCTTATCAAATTGTAGAAAATATTAATAAATGTTTAGTTTTGTACACAAGACAAGCTGAGCCTGGCCTGCTATTATTGTTTCTTCATCAAATATGCAAATATTGCTACTGCACAGGTGCTATATCTATTGGGACAGGAGCCCTCTCAGTTGCAGATAAAAAGGCAAATGTCCTGTAATATCTCACATGCAGTTCTTTGTGCCATGCAAGAAACAAACACAGGGCCAAAAATACGTCAAAGCTGGACATTCTTGTAGTGGCTGTTTATATAACGTAATTGTCTGCAGCCAGTGTGGATCCAGTGACTCAGCTGACTTCAGGTGTTGCACACTACTTCAAGTAGATAGAGCGCCACTTCTGAGGGAGTCTCCTTGTTTGCATTCAGCAGGGACCAACAGCAGATGCCAAAGCTACTGATGGGAATGTACAAACAGAAGAAACTGCTCTCTTGAACCATTGCACTCAGCAACCCCCAGAACCAACAGCAGGGTCTTCAATACCTGCAAGAACATGGAGGCAAATATTTGCTTGTCCTCCTCAGGGTTTAATAGCCCAAGCAGTGACAAATGGTAGGTAAGACAGAGTTTAATTAAAATGAGAAATGGCAACTGAAGTACTTGTTTGTCTGAATGGGATGATATCTGTCCACTGTCCTTGAAAATAATGAATGGAAATAGCTTTGTTTTACTTGTCACACCATTGTTTGAATGTTTTAGCCAGAGTTAAAAAAAGAAGAAACAAAGGTTTGAATCTACAGTTTTTGTTTCTCCAGTCTCATGTGTTTACTATGATAGGTGTGTTTTTGCACTGCAAACTATTTTTATCAGAAGAAAGACTTCCTAATTTTTGTCTTGATAGTTTGTCCTTAATACCAGAGGCTTGCAAAGCGAAGAGTCCTCACTGCAAGGCAAACTGATGTATTTTGTTTAGAATTTGTCCTAAACTGAAAACTCCCAGAAGAGATGCCTGGCTAGCCAATTATTTAAGATTTTTCCTAACAAAAGACATTCCATGTGTCTTTGACTGCTTCCACAGCCACTTGGAATTCTTAGGCTTTTATGTTTGGAAATCTACTGGTCTTCCTTTGCCACCTGAAACCCTCAAGTAAGATTAAGGAAAATTCCAATCTGAAAATGCAGGACATTTATTCAACACATTTTTTCATCGCCTTTGGTCTTCTGTTTTATATGTATGCATGCCTGCTCTTGTTGGACAACTGTCAGAACAGATTTGTGAACCTTGGAACAGCTTATTGTTTTCACATATTTTATAATATTTTCACGCACTGTTCTCATAATATTTTTCAGGATTTTTTTCTCCTCCGTATTATCCTGCTTTGATTGCTGTATCAAGGGAAGTATTTGTACTCCAGATGTCCAGAGACATGACTCTCCTCAGAATTTTTTTCCCAGGGATAACAATGTATTGCACAAACACATTCAGCCAAAAAATTATGCTTAAATTCTTTTAAAAATTAGACTGGAGCTGCAGTCATCAGCTTGAAGATATGCCAGGCTGTTCAGCAGTAAATTTTACTGTGATTCTGAAGTAGCTGAAGGAAGATAAGCAAATGCAAGATAAGTTAGTGAAAGTCTTTGCTTTAAGTTTGGAACTGTGAAGTGCTTTTCACAGCAGACCAAGGCTCAGTATATTTATTTTGATATTTAATGATATTCCTGTTACCAATTTTGAAGTATTTTAGCATCTATAAAATCAGAACATCAGTTTAGGGACCGTCAAAGATTAACTGCATTGTTATGATTAAACTAATTTTTAAGGTAAGTAATTTAATTTCTGAAAGTCATGGTAAACTTTTTTCTTTAATAGCAAAACAAATGTGATCTAACAGCAAAGTTGTTTGTGAGAGATGATTAAATATTAATTATTTTTCGTTTCATTCCAGTTGCGTTTGTGGTCCTGGTTTGGGCTGTGGTTTGGTCCATAACTGGGGCTGAGTGTCTCCCAGGTGGAAATCTCTTTGGAATTCTGTTTCTTTATTTCTTTGCTGTCATCGGAGGTAAAATTTTTGGATTCATTAAAATACGAACACTACCCCCTCTCCCTGCTCTTCTGGGTAAGATATCCTTCCTTCTTTTCTTCCTGCATATTTTGGTGTTTAAACCATCAAGTAGTATCTGGATGTTAGACATGTTTGGATTGGGAACAAATAAACTGTCACATTCAACATTTGTAGCTTTTCCAAATGACTTTTTCTGGTCCTCTCTGAAAAGGTGCAAAATTCCCCAGACTGGCTCAGGTGAAGTTTACTAAGGCTCTCTTCTTAATTCTTTGTGGGTCAGAGAATTGTATGCCTACAGACTCAAAGTTTATTGTCCTTCAGACCTTTCTGTCACAGTTACTTAAAATTTGGCTTTAATAATACCAAACAGGAATCTTAATCCAGACATCATTTTACAGTAGAATACTAATCTCTTTGTAAAATTATTGCTGAGCTATTTCTCCAAAGAAAACATTACAGCAACTCCCTACTACTGGTAGTCCAAAAGACTTCTTTCTTCTCCTTCCTTTATCTCAAGATAATTGAAACCTGAGAAAATAAATTCACAAAAAGGAATAATTCTTCTGCAGAGAGTTATTCTGATTCAATCATAACATTTTTTTTTCACATCAACATCCTAATTTATTTTACATAGAAATGCAAAATAGAAATGGGAGATGAAAATAATGTTAATTCTGACATCTTTAAAATCTTTCCAGGTTTCTTTCCTAGAGGAGGTTTTATGCTTGTTTAAATGAGTACAGTATTTTGAAGTGCTGTGATATCAGTGGAGCTGGAAATGAAGCTCCAGGTTCTTCTCACCAGCTGTATCTCTTCCCCTTGCTATGTTTAATTCATAAATGAGTAAAGCTGTTGACGGACAGTAAAACTCCCCAGCAGAGTGGGCCTGCAGTGCCCAGCTGTGATCCTGTAGCCTGCACAGCTGCTGTTGTGCCTCACGCAGGAGCTCCGCACACGGCTCTGTTGAGCTGCTTGATTTCACCAGAGAAAAGACATTCAAATGAGAGGGAGGGAAGTTTTGCATATGTCATGCATGCCTGCAATATGAACACGGAATGCCACATGCAGGGATTCTGCCCTTTGTAAGTAAACAACCCTCTTAAACAAATAAAAGTATTTCTGACAATTTGGATTCTGCTTGTTTGGGAGTTTTTTAATTACATCTGTGTCTAAAAGTTATGAGTTGAGCATGAAACTGCTTGTCAGACAAGTAATACTGGACAACAGAAACTTCAGCATGACAGCACATGTCTCTTGAGTTGTTTAGGACAGAGTTCATTGTTCTGATCCCCAGTCTTTGAGGAAAATTGGAGAAATCTATGACTCAGAAAACAAGATAGACAATGTCTGTGAATGTTCTGCTTTTACATCAAAACTACAAACCTTGTGCTCTTACATGCCTATAACCCACTTTTGCTAGGTCAAGTAGAGTGTAAGGTGGCCGGCTGAGCACTTAAGCACCTTACTGTGAGCCTCTCTTGCAGGAAAAAAAAGAGTGAAATTGGTACTGAAACAACCACATAATATATTTTAGGTGCACATTGCAGAGAGGTTTCTGCAGCAGGAAACATGGTGCAAAACAGTAAAGACATCCTTTGAGCTGGACATTTTTACTTTGTTAAGTGGATTTCTAGATCAGGGTAGCTCCAGTGACTTGGACCACATGCAAACATTGCAAAGAGCATGTAATCACAGTGCCAGCCTGATAGAATTGTCATGAGGTGCAATAGATTAATTATGACACTGGTTTTTTCCAAGTGGTGGTGGAAAGAATGATGTCCAAAATTTAGTGTCCTGGGGCAAATCAAGTTCACAGTCAAGGCTCACACGGAGTTGGGACCAACCTGAGCAGAGTGATTTGTTTACTTTTTGCTTTTTTTTTCTTTTCCTGTTTCTAAACATGACTAATATAAAATTATGCCACAAAAATGTATCTTTGAGTCATCAGGACTCACAATGAATCCTCTGTAGATCCATATTTAAAGTGAACTTTTTATGTACTTTTCCATATCCTTCCAGAGCTATGGCTTCAATAGCTTTGCAGGAAGTCTCTGATTGGACAGTTTTATTAATATTTGTAAAACGTTGTATCTTTGCAAGTAGCTCAAATAGAGGATAAGACTAAGTTTCTGATTTCCCTTCCCTTTTTAGTCCACTCTTTGTGTAAGTCTCATTGCCAGAGCACTTTAAAATGTTTAAGTTAGTCCATGATGAGCTGGTTTAGATTTTATTTCCTAATGAATGCAGCATTATGGTTCCTGTGATACCTGCATTTCTTACACCTAAGAGGATTTTTAATGAATCTCAACTTCTGAGATAAATACACAATATTAGATGATCTTCCTGTTTTTGTATTAAAACAAGCTAACAAGAAAAAAGTCTTTCAGGAAGCAGAGGTGTCTGACTATGGTATGACCTGCACCTGATAAACAAAGCCAAATTCTTTTGACTCAGAATAAAGCTGTGTATCAGCATCCTGCTGATTTATTCATTGGTGACCTGCTGTGTTCTTAGGCCACTTTCACTGCTTCAAATGCATTTATTTCTTCTCATGCCTCAGTCCCATTGTTAAAACATGGCTCAGAATTCAGAATACAAATTGTTTCTTTTTCTCTCATGAAAACATGATATAGTGCCTATTTTTAAGAGTGCTATGCAAGCTATGCAAGCTTTTCTTGTGCAATAAATAAAATAATTTTACAGGAGCTTATTTGTTTTGACTTAAGGGATGCTACTTGCTGGTTTCCTAATCCGAAATACCCCATTCATCAGTGACTTTGTCCAGATAAATCTACGCTGGTCTGCAGCACTGAGGAATATTGCTCTTTCCATTATCTTGACCCGAGCAGGACTTGGCCTGGATCCAAAGGTATGGCACCAGCCATTTGTGTGTGACAGTCTATACAGCAGCAACCAAAAAAATCTGAATAATTGGTTCCATTAAAAATACTGAACTGCTTTGTCTTGGAGCATCTGCAAATTAGATCATTATAGAAATTACATAGTTTCTGCTGTATAATTATATGTATGTTAATACTGGCAGTTGGATTTGTACAGTAGGCAAGCAATCGGAAAAAAAAACTGAAGAAAACTGATTTTATGATTATTTTCATTTCCTGAGTTTTGTGAGTGGAACAAATTGAGGATGTGTGCATTGTCATGGTCTGTCAGGAAGAGTCTGCACTCCCTGACCAACCCCTCTTAGTTTATACTGAAAATTGGAAGTAACGGAAGGGATCCCCAGTCCTTGAAAGAGAATGTTTTCCTATGGGCAGAAATCCGAAAAACCTAACCAACCAAAAAAGTCTAAACCCTGTGTGACTGTTTTACTTTTTTTTTAATCATAGCCATTTTAATGCAAATATGTTAATTGCAAAGATGAACCCTGCTGCACTATTGAAACAATGATTTTCATCACAATGAAGCCCATAACAATCCTGTGAACAAAAAATAGTCTCTGCACCCTAAGAATCATGATATTTCATAAATTATTGAAGGCAAGGTTTTGCTTATTCAAAATGAGCTGGCTGAAGTAACGCTGTTCCATATTGGCCCCTACTTGTTGAAGGAACCACACAGAGTTTTATATAAACTTAAGTAAAGTATGGGAAATTTAGAACATCCAAACTAATTTTTCTTAAACAAGAAAAACTAGAGAATTGCCAGTGCTACAGTTATTTAGGAAAAGAAAGGTTTTGTCAATATTAAAAAATGTCTTTCCCTTTGTTACCATAATCTTATTTTCCAAGACAGTGAGGTCTGTATGAGCTTGTGTGTTATTAGACAGCTTGGATGTCCAGTTCTGTGAGACTGCATTTCTTTCTATTTCATGACAACTTTTTTTTTGCTGAGGGAACTTCCTTTTTGACTCATTTTTCTTCTGTGGCCACAAAACTGTCACTTGGACTCTGTGTGTGGCAGTGATGCAGTTAAAATTGTACTCATGTAATTGAAACTTTAAAGACAAAGAAGTCAGTTTCTCAACCCTGATTATCTGGGATAAACTGGACTGGAATTTTTTGGTTTGGTTTATTTTTTTTAAATTCCATGTCAAAATTAGGAACCTGTCCTAGCAGACTCATGTTTGTGACTAACTATTAAAGACAGCTCTTACAAGCAAATATGCCAGTTTAGAAATTTTCTTTAAAGATGCTGAGCTAAAAGGAGCTTTATCTCTGAATATCAAGTAAGAGACAGCTGAAAGATGCTTGACTCCTTGTGCCAAGTCGATGTAGTTCTACGACTTTCCATGATTTGTTCATAGATTTTGGGACAATTTTTGGCGGTGCTCATGCAGCTTCTGGGATTATAGTGAAATCTTTTGTGGATGGAGCAAATTACAGGAAGCCAAACAGAATTTTCTGCTACTCCTTCCTGTAAAATTCATGAACCTTGTCAAACCTAGATTTAGGGTTTATATCCAAATCCGGTTGGGCTTGGGCCTGCCTCTAGTTTCGGCCATGTCATGTCCTGTAGTGCACCTCAGACAGGATTCACTAACAAGCCATATCAGATTGTAAATGCTTTTCCTTTCTGTAAAGCCAAGGGTACTGACACTATTGTGCCTGTATGATTGCAGGCTCTTAAGAAGCTTAAAGCTGTCTGTTTACGGCTCGCTTTCGGACCGTGCCTCTCAGAAACAGGCACAGCTGCTGTCCTTGCCTACTTGCTCCTGCCTTTGCCATGGCAATGGGGATTTATATTAGGGTAATGTACTTTCCTTTTCTCCTGTATGATAAAAGTGCCGCTTTTCAGGCCACAGCTAAATGATCCAAGTGTTGTTAGTTCTCTGTGCCAAGCAGAGACCTCAGTTCAATGCCATTTGGGAAGCTGTGCTTAGCCCCTATGGTCTTTTGCTTACCATTTATGTCTGGCTCTGTGGCTAATTTAAAGGTCATATTTTCAGGCTACAGACTACTTGCATCATTACTCTTCTGTGTTTGTGACCTGAGTACTTGAAGAAGAAAGGATAGTGCAATTCCTGAGTCTTGAACCACAACAGATGGGGATTTTTAGGGACAGAAAATTATACCACAGTTTGGAAAATTTTCATACTGGAATTCAGAACTCCTGCACATAGGACAACCTTCCTGTCACAAGTCAAGGATAAGGATATGGCATGGTATAGTCTAGGGTAACATCCTTGAAGAGAAGACCTTTTTCATCTAGTTCTATCTAAATTGGTAGACTTGGGCCAGACACATATACTAGAACAAGATGGATGAACTCCTTCTCTAACACACACTGAATTTTATGAGAATGAACTGGGCTTCTGAGTCATAAGCACATCTAGACCGGGTTTCCAAATGGGATTGTCAGGGTATCTATCAGGGAGTGTAACTGGCCTGCAGTGGAGACTCCAGTTTTAGTCTGTGGAGCCCTTTACTTTCAATATTACTGAGTTGTGCAGAGAGTAAGAGCTGATTGCGGATCTGCATAGAAATATGCCTGCTTGTAATTAGAGGGGAAGGGTTAGGAAAATACTTTACATAAAGGTCTACTTATTTATACTTCAAAAAAAATAAGGTTTTGAACATTTTGAAGTTTTATTTAGTTCAGTGCTTTTTTTTTGAGATGCTGAACTTATGTGTTTTCAGTTTTGTTCTAGGTGCAGTCTCCCCTGCTGTGGTGGTTCCCTCCATGCTGATTTTACAAGCTGGGGGATATGGGGTGGAGAAGGGTGTCCCAACTTTGCTAATGGCAGCTGGCAGCATCGATGACATTCTGGCTATCACAGGCTTCAACACTTGCCTTGGGATGGCTTTCTCCTCCGGTACGCTGGTTAATCTGTACATGATGAAATGCAGAACAGTGATGTTTTGGAGAATGTGTGCTCTGTTACGGCTGACTGGTTTGTAACTTAATGGCATCTCGTTATAAAATCCATGTATAACCTTAAATAGTGAGATGGAAATTACCCATATTTAAATGTTAGTGTAACATTGTCAGCTCAGAGTTGTGGGTCACAATAACTTTGAGAGAACATTTTTTTCCTTGACTGCTCCTTTAGCTGCCAAGTCTGGCCCCTGCATATGCCCAGCATAATGCTTTGAAAATATAGTGGGTTTGGCAATGTTCTTACAGTGGCTCTTTCTCTGACTTCTCTTGCACACCTTCTTGGCAGGAGCTTTCAGAGAAAGGAAGTTGCACCATCCAGTTCCTTCAGGCCGATAGGTTCCCTCCTGAACTCCTCTGCCCCAAGTAATTCTAAGCAAAGCAAACACTGTCCTGGAATCACTCTCATAAGTCTGGAGCATGGTTTGAGTGAAGGTCTGTGTATGACTTAGTGAACATGTTTTTCTTTTGCAAAATAGGTTCTACTCTGTACAATGTGCTCCGTGGAGTGCTGGAGGTCGCTGTTGGCATAGCAGCTGGGGGAATTCTGGGAATGTTTATTCGATACTTCCCAAGCCATGACCAGGTAAAAACCTAGTTAACAAAAAAAATTATCGTAAAGTGATTCTTCAGTAAAGGATTATTTTCTTTAGTTATTTATTTATTAATTTTATTTAGTTATTTAGTTATTTAGTTATTAATTTCCAAGCCTTCTGAAGCTGGTTTTAGGGAAAGCTTTTTACAGTGCTAGCAAAACCTATCAAGTGAGGATGTGTTTTAAAGGTGTTTACTGATTTACTGCACCAGTAATAATGTATGATCTCATAGTCCTTCCTGATGGAAATTTGGAATCCAGCTCACTATCCTGCTCTCATTGAAGGTAGTGGAAATGAAGGAAGGGTCTGATACCTATTTCAGACAGTAAAATAATAATTTATTAGATTGATGCAGAACACATTTTCTTCTTCAAGATGTATCCAGTAGGCCTAAGATTAAAAATTAATAAAGCAGATGTATTACAGGTTTTAAGTGATTGATCATATCATTAGTATTAATTATAATGTGTTGCTTTCCATAAAAATTGCATTTATAGAAAGTGGTAGATGAATTTTCGAGGGGTAGTTAAATGAATAGAAAATTGTGGAAGAATGTAGATATGCTCTGGACTACCAGTATTCAGAGCATCTATTGCCCTCAGTGGCATCAAATTTTCTTATTAAATAATGTAAGAAGTGTGATACAAGAGCTAAACAGTTAGAAATGAGGAACAATGGCTGATAACTGTCTGCTATGAGACTGAATGAAATAAAACTAGATTATTCCTGGAAAATGTTTGACTTGTCCTTAAAAACATCTGGTGGCAGATTTTACCTTTCCTTGGATAAACTGTTGTAATACTTGACTACACAGGTAGAAAATCCTGCCATCACAGAGTTGAGGCAGAGCTGCTAGAACTGAGCATTGTGTTCCTTCTGATAAAAACAGCTTAGTGGCAATAAGAATTTGGATGGGCAGAGTAAAAAAAAATACGTTTTCAAAATTTGTATTCTTAGGAATTCCTGTCTAAAAAAAAATCCTCAATCCAACTGAGCAGTTTAAGTCTCACTTGAAAGCTTTGATTACTCCAAAATTATTAATTTTTCATTTTTTTTTCAAGTTCTTATTTTCAAAATTAACAGGAGTAACTTTTTCTCCCTGTTTCTGAAAGAAATTCACTTTTATGTTTGTCTCTTTCCTTGGCTGCAGGCGTCTTTGGCATGGAAGAGATCATATTTTGTACTTGGACTGTCCATGTTTGCTGTTTTTGGCAGCATCCACTTTGGCTTCCCTGGATCAGGAGGGCTCTGCACATTAGTCTTAGCTTTTGTTGCAGGTGTGGGATGGTCTGATGAAAAGGTGAATGTTTACTTAAGAAGCACACCATATCCAAAGTCTGGTGAACGTACAGCCCGAGAGGAGCTTGAATTTCTGTCAGGAGTGGTAGTGGTATATTTGTGAAGTGTTAGAGGGTGTACAGATTTAAAAAACAAACAAACAAGCAAACAAAACAAACAAAAAAAAAACCCCATTAAACAAATCAGCATATTCTACATTTGTTTTGGAAGTCTTTAGCATTTCCCATGCCAGAAAGTTACCATCTATGTCAGTGTATACAGATTGAGAAATGCTCAGCATTTCTTAGACATCTTAAGCCGTATGAAGGAGACTTAGTTGTGAAGGCACTTGACAGTAGCAATCCAAATCTTTAATTCACAGCTCTGTGAGTGTCTGTGCACAGTCACTTCATGGTAAAATTTACAAATTTTATATAAAATATATATATAAAATATACATTTTGGATGTCCAAGATCCTGTTGTGGACATGGCCTGAATATCCTGAGGGTTTGTTTGCTGTGATTTGGAGAGGGTGAAATGAAAAGCAGTGATTAACTATCCTCTCTCATCTTTCCCAAACCCCAGCCAGTGTAATTTGGATAACTTAGAGAGCAGGGTGCAAACAATAAATGATGATGTAAGACCATACAAAAATCACACAAAAGACTACTTTTTAGTCACTTTCTCTTAGGTACTAGCCTACTTCATCTTACTGCTGCTGCCCCACTGCCTTTCTGTACCTTGCTATGTCTGACAGCCTCTTTTTCTTTATACCATCTACATTTAATATTTTGAGGGCATCTTTCTCTCCACAGCTATACCTTTGTGACATTCAGTAGGAGAAGGGGAATAAAAAGGAAAGGGAATTAGATATAGTAGAGTCCATGTTATTATCCCCATCTTGACCTTGACTTTACAAAGATCTCAAGGTTTGTTATAACAATGAAAAGAAACTAAGATTGTCCAGTTTTAAAGGATGAAAAACTCTTCTTGGGACTTAACTGTTGAGGACATTACAACTGATAAGCTCTCTACTGAAAAGTTTTTAAACCATTTCAGGAGGAAGAATAAATGCTGTCTATAAAGGCATAGTTTAAATTCTTCTGATCTGTGAATGGAGCTTCATGACCTTAAGTATATTGATGTCAAATGCCTTAGCTCTTTTTCTCTCAGATAGAGATAGAGGTGTCTGTGTACTCAATATAATACCAAGGTTTTCCTGCTGAGCTTCTCAAAGGCCACTGCCTCCTACTGTCCATGGTGGAAGGCACTTGACAAACACTTGTCTATGGAGAACAATGAACATTGAACCTATTCCTGGAACAGTCAAATGGGCAGTAAATAGGCTGAAATCTGTGAAGAGGGGATTTCTGGGGGATTTTTGTTTGTTTGTTCTGGTTTGGTTTGTGGTTAATTTTTTTTTTAATTTATTTTGTCAGAACTGAAAAGGGTGAAATAACAAAGAGAAACAAGGCAAAAAATGTTTATATATATATATATATATATATAAACTGTAACCTACCATTCCATTGACAGAAGAGCAAGAGGTGTTGCAGGATCAGTCCCAAAGAGAATACCAAGGATGGGACATGTCTAGGCCCTGGATTGATTATTGACAGAGCACTGCACTTACATTTTCCACATACCATGAGGAGAAAAGATGGTTTTGCCTTTATACACTATATTGCAGTGGAAAGTTCAGCACTTGTGCCTGGTACATGATTTCAGACTTGCTCAGACTGACTTTGCTCCTGCTGACATGGAGAGAGGTTTCTTACTGAGTGCAGCACGAACAGAGTTAGGTCATGACTGAAACTTGGGTGAGCCTGACTCTGCTCAGCTAAAAATGGAAGAACATGTTTAGACATGCAGTTCCCAAAGGCTCAGAAACTTCATGGCAAAGCTGTTGAAATTACATCTTTCTAAATACTGAAAAACAGCAATGCTTCATTTTCCTCCTCTTGTCTGCAAACTGCTCTGTTACTGTTCAAACAGCTTTTTAGTTCTCCTCTCAAGACATCAAACATTTACTTACTAGGACAGCTAGACACAGTCTGACCTTCAAAAGTTGTACAACTGATTTTGAATGTTTTAGTATTAGGTCAAAGAAAGAGGAGCAATTCTGGACAATCTTTATGAGACATTTTCACTTTGTCCTATGATTACTTCACTGTTGTGTCTCCTTGGCCATCTTCTTGTGAATTTACAGTTTTATTTTTATTGCAGAGGGAAATAGAAAAAATTGTGGCAGTTGCATGGAATATCTTTCAACCTTTCCTTTTTGGTTTAATTGGAGCAGAAGTATCTGTTACATCTCTTAGGCCTGAAACTGTTGGTAAGATCATTCACAAATTATCCAGCTCTCAATCTCTATAAAGAAATCTAAAACAAAGCAGACTATGGCTGACCCCCCAAAATAAATCAAAAAGCCAGAAGCACCAATGCAGAAAAGTACTGAGAAATGTTTGTCTGTTGCAGGGCTCTGTGTTGCTATATTAGGCATTGCCCTAGTTGTGCGAATCATAGCAACGTTCCTGATGGTGTCTTTTGCTGGGTTTAATTTCAAGGAGAAGCTGTTTGTCTCACTGGCATGGATTCCCAAAGCCACTGTCCAGGTAAACAATCCAACATCACTTTCATTCCAGGCTAAGTCTATTTTCTTTAGCAAAGCTCCCTAGAGTAACTAGAGTAGCAGTAAGCAGGAAAAGGTTCAAGCTCAGTGACAGCTGAGTGTAGTATATTGACTGCTCCCACTCTAAAACACTCTTTAACTGATTAAAAAGTGCATAGAGAACTTTGTGTGAAGGTGATTTTCTTGCATCCTCTTACTAAGGACACTGAATTGTATATATACCACAGGAAATTTAACAATTTATCAGCCATTGCTGATTGTTGGGCCTTCACATACAGATTCTGAGAAGTCTCAAAGGTAAAAACATTTCACTCTTGCACATGAAGTGTCTGCAAGGACAGTCACATCAGGACTCAGAATGGGTTTCAGTTTGTGATTATTTTGGTAAGGAGTAGACTGAGTGCCATATTAATAGAGATGCCTCAGGCTGGATACATTCCTATTCCTTTATTTCAGTGATTGGCAAGTCATTTAGACTTTGCCTCAATGGCATGATTACTTGCAAACAAAAGTTAATAATCAAAACAGGCAAGCTTTATTACATGATCAGTGAATTAAATTTTCAAAAGCTGCCACTGGTTGACTATTGTCAGAATACATTCTCCAATTGTGGCATTTTAACTGCTGCAATATACAATATACTGGCCTATTTCATTAAGCACATATTCTCCAGAAATGTAGATAAAATGGCAACTAAGCAATGTTCTGCACAGGAGGAAACCACACAGATAAACTCATTATCTTAGGAAATTCCAAGCAAAGTCAAAGCATAGTGAAAGTTGTTCTCATATGTGTAATATAATGTTTACTTTGCTATGTACAGCCTAGAAACGAATGGGTTGAATGTACTAAAAATGTCAAATTTATGTGAAATGTTTACTAATGATAAGTTTCCTTTTTTCCTCATTCAGTGCTAAATATTACTTATTCCATCTCAGCAATGTTTTCTTCCCTGCAGGCTGCAATAGGTTCTCTTGCCCTGGATACAGCAAGACGACATCAAGATGAGCAACTGGAAAAGTATGGAATGGACGTACTGACAGTAGCTTTCTTGGCTATCTTGATCACTGCTCCAGTTGGAGCCCTGGTTATCGGCTTGGCAGGGCCCAGACTTTTGCAGAAGGCTCAGACAAATAGCAAGGAGGATGAGGAAGGTGCAGAGGTTGGAGAAGAGGCAGAGGCCTGAACCTTCATAAGACAGACAACTACAGTAGTCTGGTCCTTCAACCCTGACACTTTTGTTGAGTAAAAATGGCATGTCTCTAATCTTGCTGGAGGAACTTAAAACTATCAGTTACCCCTGCTATTTTTAAAGCAGCCCTGGTGCAGTTCTATAAAATATTTTTATGTGATGATGGTGCCTTGAGATGAAATAGCTGAACATACAGTGAATAAGATGACCTGGCAGTGAGTCACTGAGAAGTTAGCAGTCAAGAGTTACTTGAAATGTGTGGGTGGTGAGGCCAGAGAAAGGATCAGAATTGTTGAGGCATGGAGTGGAGTCATGAGGTAGAATATAAACAGAAAAAAATGGAGACTAGTGTGAATAACATCTTGATGGTTGAAACTGGGCTGTGAGATGACAAGTTCCATAACTCAAAGAAAGCAACTTCCAAGAAAGAGATTGCTGAGACATATTGAATAAGTCCTGCTATGGCTTGGTGATTCCCTCTCCTTCCTCATTTGTGTTCTTAAACTTGCCTTTTCCTGTTGCTTTTCTTCCTCACAGCTGAGGCACTCCTTTGTGCCTTCAAGGACTGTCAGCTCTGGTCATAGCAAGGAACAGCAAGTGGTACTTACATGCTCAAAGAGAGAGTTGGGGCCATCATAGACTGTGGTAATAAAGATGTTGGTGCTGGCAGAAAAAAAGGACAGAGCCTGAAAATGAGATGAAGGTTGTGGGATGGCTATAAGGACTGGGGGAGGGTTGTATGGGATTGGGATGGCTGCTTCTTCACCTCAGCCTTCACACAACATGATGTCAAGGGAAAGATGTAACCCCTGATGATCAAAACCCTGCTCTTGCCTTTTAGGTTTGGTACCACTTGACAGGTATCAGCAAATCTATCTGCCTCTGCTACATTTTATACAAGTAACTAGCTCAAAGTTGTTGGTAACTCCATTCTGAGGCATAGGGTCAGTATGGCATCCCTCAGCAACTCGTTATTTTGTTATTTATATCAGTTACTTTGTTATTTTTTGGAAAGGCTATAAGATTGTGCCTGTAACTGAGGCTGGCAACACCCTCCTGAGATTTCCACACTACAGTTCACTGAACTCATTTTACAGGGTACTGTGTAGAATATATTTGATAATGTCTAGATTTTGGCATTAGTAAGAACTAATGATTTCTATTTCAGCTTTTAAATTTTTAATATGCAAAACAAAAAATGTACAAAAATACTTTTAACTGCTTAAATACTTCTGATGTTGACACTGTACTATTTGCAGAGTCATATGGCATACAGATGAGCTGTATACAGCTCAATATGCATGCCTTTGTATAAGCCTTACTCTCTAAGCAAAAAGAAAGCTTCCTGAGATACTTAAATTTCACAGCCTGCAGTTCCAGCACAATGATAAAAATACCAGGAAATTCTTAGGTAAATTTTCCCTTAACAGTTGTCAAGTACATTATATTTTTGTAACTATGCACACTGTTGTTCTCTCTGCATCCTTGGGAATGTACCATCTTTAGTTCAGTTTGTCTCCTAACCTGAAAGGGAGAAGCTTTCACCTGATGGGTTTGAAGCTGGAGCAGTGGTTAAGGGTGGTGTGCTTGGTTGTTACTGTGACATACCTGGACTTCTGTGCCTGTTCTGCCTACTTCACATGCACTCCTGGTGTCCCCCTGGCCCAGTATCTTTACTGATGATCTGGATGAGGGAATTGAGTCCACCCTCGGTAAATCCACAGGTGACACCAAGCTGGGTGGCAGTGTTGATCTGCTGGAGGGCAGGAGATCTCTGCAGGGGATTTGGACAGGCTGGGTCAATGGGCTGAGACAATGGAATGAGGTTGAAGGAGGCCAAGTGCTGAGTCCTGCCCTTGGGTCACAGCAACCCCAGGCAGTGCCACAGGCAGGGGACAGAGTGGCTGGGAAGCTGCACAGTGGGAAGGGACGTGGGGTGCTGGTGACAGCAGCTGAACATGAGCCAGCAGTGCCCAGGGGGGCGAGGGAATCCTGGCTTGGATCAGCAATGGTGTGGCCAGCAGGAGCAGGGCAGGGATTGTCCCCTGTACTCGGCACTGGTGAGGCCACACCTCAAGAGCTGTGTCCAGTTCTGGGCCACTCACTACAAGAAAGGCATTGCAGTGCTGGAGCGTGTCCAGAGGAGGACAACAGAGCTGGGGAATGGTCTGGAGCACAAGTCCTGTGAGGAGCAGCTGAGGGAGCTGGGGGTGTTTAGCCTGGAGAAGAGGCAGCTGAGGGGTCACCTGGCTGCTCTACAACCCCCTCAGGAGCAGGTAGCCAGGTGGGGGTCAGCCTCTTCTCCCACACATCCAGTGACAGGATGAGGATAGAGTCTTAAGCTTTACCAGGCGAGGTTTAAGTTGGACATTAGGAAGAATTTCTTTACAGAATGGGCTGTTAAACAGTGGAATGGACTGCCAGGAAGGTGGTGGAGTCATCTTCCCTGGAGGTGTTTAAGCAAAGGCTGGACATGGCACTGAGAGCCATGGTCTGGTTGACATGGTGGTCATAGGTTGGATTCAATAATATCAGAAGTCATTTCCAACCTCATTGATTATATGATTTTGTGAAATATGTGTAGTTTTAATAGGAGGCTAAGTATTTGGAAATTGTAATGTTGGTTAAACCAACTGACAAGGTGAGGAAATACAATGTTCAGTTCATCTGTGACTGTCTATAAAATAGTTCTACCCAAGTAAAACTTACAGGAGTTCACTTTTTTGTAAAGTTTTTATAAAAGTAGAACCCTTCCGTAAGGATCACTATGCCAAATTTGGAATGTGTTCAGTAACAGAAGTGTTATGCTCTAAGGATTACAGCCCTTTAAATTTGGACACAACCTTAAGTATGAAAGTAAACCGCTGATGAAGAGCTGTTTGTGATAGCCTCTAATACTTCCTCATCAGCTAAACAGCATCTCATAAATGGGATTTACCCGTTCCCTTAACCTCAGTGCACTCTCACTTATACATTACATCATGTCCACAATTCTGAGTGCTTGAATAAGCTATACCAATGAAACTTGTCATCTTTTTTTCTAATCTGAGATATAATAAATTTTTATTTCCTTTCTATTTTACGTGGGTATTTCTCATGAGACCCCTTTCCCCCAGCTTTTATTAAATCTTCAAAAAGTATAAGGTCAGAGCTATTACAAAGACCTGCAGATCTAAAATTAAACGCTTTAATGCTTTATGTTTCCTCTCCTTTTCTTCCAGAAAGGAAGAAAACACTTGCATCTTTTCATTAAATGATCAGAACTAAGAACTTAAGAGACTGGGCTTTTTTAGTACCGTAACAATTTCAGCTGCTTTTAAATAGCAACTAACTTTGAGAGATTAGATTTCAGTTTTCATCAGAGTACAGGTGACGCATGACATTAAAGACCACCTCCCTTTTAACAAAACGCTGTGAAAATCATTACTGAATAAATTCAAGCATAAATTCAAGCCAATAAAATCATTATGCTACAGTAGTCTCTTATTTGCAGGAAATATAAGAGCACAATGCACAGTAAGAGATAACCAGTCCCGCTGTCACACAGACATAATCACAGGCATAGTGTGGGGGAACTCTGAGTGTGCTGTTCCAGAAGGTTCACAAAAACCTCTGCAGCAGAAAGGTCTAACAGCAGAAAGTGTTCCCAGCAGCCAGCATCTGGCAGTTACAGCAGGCAGCATATGGGAAAAGACAGAAATTGTCTGTCTGCAAGCAGGGAGTCACACAGGCCAGGGGATGTGATGATGATGTGATTATAATCACTGCTTACTCTCTTTTTTCAGCCAAACTGAGCTTTTTGTGGAATTTAAACCGAAGTCTAAAATTAACTGTGAAACAGTCATGGTGTAATACAGCCACAAAATGAATGATCATTTCTGTGCCTTGCTTTAAATAAAGAGTGCAAGAGATCAAAATTTTGGCCAATTGCACTTCAATTACATTTACTTTGTCTAGTAGTTGCCCCAAGTCAGACACCTTTCTCTAAACCTGTTTTACAAGTTTATTTTTAGCCTCTTATAACCATGTTCAAAATAATTATGAAAAGGAAAACGTTGTTCTTGTAGAGTGTCACAATACACTAATTTCAGTTTCCCCAGATTTTCCATCAAGACTGAAGACCTGGTCCCACAACCTCAGTTCTGGTCTTTATTAGCATTTAGGGCAAATTTATTCCTGTGTGTGGAGCTTCCCAATTAGATTAGAAAAGTCAGGTGATTGGTTCAACTTCTCAGTTGCTGGTAAGATACAGAGCTGTAGAGGCACTTCAGCTTTTGGCTATCTTATCTCTGTAGACTTTAGATAGAACAGGCTGGTAAATTCTTTGAGATTTTCTACAGAAAGTTCTGCAGACATGAGACAGTATTACCTTGACAGATTTTGAAATGCAAGAAAATGATGATTTGCTTGTGATTCTCATTATATTATTACCTTGTGGAAATTACTACAATGTCCTTTCTACAAAATAACTGTGACTCACTCTTGCAAAATCACAAATTTGTTCCATTCCCTTACAGATACAAGCACAAACAACTGTCCCTGTTTATCATATAGCCCTATTTGTAGATTGCTGTTAAACTATCTCATCTAAGAGCAAGTAAGGAGAAAAAATACTTAATCAAGCTGTGTTGAAGATGGAGTGAAGAAGTTAAACCCTACCCTGTTCTTCAAGGAGCTTTTTGGGAGAAACAAAACCATGTTTTATTACTCACATGTATTACTCACTTTAACAAGGCTTGTTTTCATTTAACAGGTTTGGTTGTGATTTCAGAGGAAACCAAACTGTTTGAATACAAAAGCATCCTGATAAAAGCTGGAAGTACATACAGGCCTGTGTCTAGTAAGTCTGCTACAGTAGACTACAGTTTTTAAAACCTGAAAAAAAACAAGTCAAATATGGGGCTTTACATTTCACAGTAACTTCTTCACCAAACACAAGAATTTGGGCTTGATGTTCTATATACATTTGTAAGTGAAAATTTGAATATAAGACACCTTTATATATTCTTCTCTATTATAAATGCTTATATCCTAATACATTTATGGTTTGCTCATCCATTAAGGTAAGACCACCATGAAGATTTAAACAAAATACATTACACCATGGTTCTGTTACACACTTGGTAAAAGCAGGCATTTCAACACAGTCACACCCTAATCTGCCATCTTTTTCTGCAAGGTAAGAGGTTTTGGAACCTAAAACTGTCACAAACAGAGGAAAACTGATCTACCTTAATTCTACTGCTGCTGCAAGAGCCCTTGTATGAGAACAGCTCTCTGACTCGCCTGCTGTTTCAGCACTGTGGTAATCAGCTTTGGCAACAGCTCTGGGGCTTCCCACCTAACAATGGGTCAAATGAAATGCTGTTAAGGGATGGGTGAGGTCTGTCACGGTACCGTTGTCTAAAACTGTAGCACGGACCAAATTTTTATTTTTGAACTGATGGATACACTATTTCATGGCAGAATGAAGCACTTTAGAATAATTAATTAGAAATCTAGCAGTTAGGTAAGTAGTAATTATCTGCATCTCAAAATTAAGCCTCACCACAGCAACCTTCTAACTTGCCTAAATAATAATTCTGAATGGGTAACAAGCCAAGAGAACAGCTCAGCTCTGCATCTTCAGTTCTGTCTCTTAACCCATTCATCCCTTGAAAATTCCCAGTGCAAAACATAGTGACTATAGTGCAAGTGAACTTGCAGGAGAAATTTGTGTTTCCTTACCATCATCACAGGGTCCAAAATAGAGGGGTAATGTTGGTGACTGACCTGCCCAATAGTTTGGTTTATATATGGCCTGGAACTGCTAGTATTCCACCTGGAATGCTGTGTGAACCTTTCCAGAGGTGTGGGATTTGTCTGAGCTGGGCTGCTTTGTGCAAGACCAACAAACTGCCCACTTAGGAACCATGCAGGCCAGACCTTCAACCTGCATGACTTAACACTGATATGCTGCCTGAATATATATTCATGAAGGAGGAAGTTGCTATCTTTTTCTCCCCCTCTTAAGTACACTTAAATTTGTTCCTGAAAAGCAAAGTAAAACATGATTTCTCAGCAGAACAAACTCAACAGAAAAGTACACTTACATCACTTGAAAAAGTGACAGCTTTGTAATTGTATGTTCATACAAAAAATGCTTAGTTGTAGAAAGTCAATTTATTCTTGAAATAAACGACTTATTTACAGATAGGTACTTTACAGTTTTACAAAGCAGGCAAAATTCTTCTCAGAATAAGGTACCAAAACAGTGACAAATTCATCACTGTCTAAAGGCAGTTTATTCCAAAAAGAAATCTACAGCAATCATGAAACTAAATCATACCAATCACATAATAAAATGCTGTCCCTTGCAACTACAACAGTAGAAAAGACTTTTTTTCAGTCATGAGCTAGATTAAGTATCTGCTATACTTCTTTCTTCTTGAGTATTAGTGGACCTACATTATCTCCTGTCAATTCATTGTGCTTGTTGTGGGAGCCATCACAGACAGGGAACTGAAAAAAAAACACACACAAGGAATTAGCATAATTCTGTACAGCAGGTGCATGGTGATTTCTGTATTCCTACACCCTGAGCACTCTGATAATGTTACTAGTTCCTCCTGTGATGTCCTGGTTCAACATCAAACTCCCTGCCTCCTATCAGACACAGGATATTAAGGAAAACAAACACTGTTAATGCGTAACTAAGTTTGTGAGATCCTAAAATAGCTGTTCTTAGACACAAAGTCAGGGACAAAGCCTTTTCCATGAAAGAACAGCAAACAAAGCAGCTATCACAGCTACAGATGGATTAATTTTGGAACTAGTAAGAGTGCTCTTAATAGATCTAGTCATTTGCAACCAGAAAGCACTTTTTCAAGAAAAACTGAAATACTTGGCTGAAGTGATTAGTGCGAAGTGAGAATAGGTGAGTAAGCTCTTCAGTTCAGGGTAGAATTTTTTGTTTTTATTAAAAAAGGAAAGCATTTGGTTCAGAGAGAACAAAACAGAGTGTGGTCAGGACATTCAAATCTGAATCAGAAAAAGAAAATTGAGGCTAGATGAAATATACTCATTTACATCTAGTTGATTTGGGGGATATGGAATATCCCAACCAGTCATCTCCCTCAACAACACAGGCCCAGCCTTATTTTCATTCTAATATGAACAACTTTCTAAGCATTGTATTTTGAAAACAAGAGTAGCAAACTTTTAGTTAGTTGCAACATCCAAATAGTAAAACAGGTTTGCTTGGTTTTATTCTACTCATGTGTAGTCACTCTAAACATTTCTAGAAATACTCTACTGTGTTTCTTTCAAGTTTCTACAGTTGCTCTCTTCATGTAGATACATTTGTGCCATTCTGCAGAGTTCAGGAACATGTTCTAACTCCAGACAAAGGCAACAGCTCAACACAGAGAAATCCACCACCGAAGCACTGATAAAATTATTCAAGTTTCAATCTCTAATCCTACAGTAGCACAAAGTCTTACCGTCTTCGAACGCCAACACCTGCAGTAAGCTTTAGTGAGGCACAGATCTTCGATGTTTATCTCATTCACCACTTTGGGATTTTCCTTTTGGATCTTGAGGTTAATCAAGCTATCCTTCTGCTGTTTCTTCTTGGGGAGGAAGGGACGAACAGCAAGGTAACCGAGCAAGGCCAGCACACCCAGGAAAGGCAGTAACCGCAGCCATTCTGAAACTAAAGATAAGTGAGATTTAGGGTGGCTCTTGACACCACTCCAGGATGGTGCAGCATCACCTACTTTCAAATGGCTTAGGCTGAGGATGTGGAACAGGGCTGCTAAGTCAGCAGGGCCCTCAGGGCAAACAAGATTCCATTGGTGAGTCTCAAAGAAAAAAATATTAAAATACAGTCCTATGATTTACTCCAGCCAATGTAAAAATCTGACTCCTAAAATTTCATCTGAAATTGAATTTTATCACTCTAGAAGATGATTAAATGAAAGACAATAAAGACAAAACAAAGATTTACCAAAATGGGCAACTAAAGCACTGGCAAAACTTTCACCAATCTTTTTTGTTTTATTTTTCAGACCTCTGTTTGCTCAGGGATCTGCAACTAGTTTCTACAACACAGAGAAAGAAAGACACCTAAGATCAGTAGGTCAAGTCACAGAAAATTGCTTTTTACCAAGGTAAGGAACTTCTTTCAAGTACAGGTAAAAAATAAAAGTATCTACTGCCGATTTGGCTGTCCTGCTACATCATTATAAATCTTCTAGGCATATTGGTGAGAGAATACTTACTGGACTTTTAAAGAAATGCATCAATAATTGGCATTTATTTATATATATACAGATAGATAGACTATATATATAAGTTGGAGCCACCTTTCCAGCCAAACATGCTGTGACTATACTCCAGTGCAATTTAAATACCACGGTGCACTAAAGGTTGACAGCATTTTTCTAAATTTCTGGAGAATATATTTTATCTAAACACTCATACAGAAGGGAGTTTGAAAATATTTTAGAGGAGAAAGAAAAAAGTATAACAAGCTGGAGCACAAATAGCTGCACAAGCACTTTTTAAGACAAGACACTAATCAACTTACTCTTCTAAATAATTTACAGTCAGAATATAGCAAGATTTTGTTCTACAATTTTTTGAAATTAAGAGGTACAAGAAAGAAAACACAACAGAGCAGGCTAAGGCTGCCAGGTGGGTTGTAGCCCTGAGAAAAGGCATTTTTCTGTATAGCTTGATTATATTAGTAGTAAAATGCATGTTTAGGCTAATACTTCTCCAGTTAGAATCCAGTGGATTTTTCTTAAGGACTTGAATTTTCTAGAACCAGACCACGTAATGAAAATAATTTTGGGGATTAATTTTTTGTTCTTTGTTGCCCTTGATGTGACAGCCACATTAAGTGCATTTATCTAGAAATGTATCACAGCTGCATAAATGCTAAAGGCACTGCAAGAAGTCTCAGAAGTCATTTCCCAACTGCACCTGCAGCAGTCCCTACACACCACAATTCACAACATTCACTAAGACTCAACTGCAATACATTAATCTCTGACGCTCTTTCCTTAGTTCCTCCAACAAGCTGCAAGCCGTGATTAATAACTGACTCTGAGATACTTAAATGTTTTCAGCTACAGAGAATCCTGTGCTTCCTGGACAGCAGTGCCTGTTAGCCTTTTCTATCATTATTTTTCCAGAACACTCCATCAATTCCATCAGAAATCTAAATGCACTTGCTGACCTTACCTGAAGGACTGACTCGGAATGTATTTCAAAAGAGAGGAAAAAATTTTGGTCACTGAAAAAAAATTCCAAACTTTGTATTTAACCTGACTGTTGGCAAAAATGTGCATCTCTACTGTGCAAAGCTACTCTGCTGAACTCCAAGACAACAGACATTCCAAGAGGTACACCAGGACAGGGCATCTATCAAATGTGTGGTAGATATAACTGGGCTAAAATTGACACACAAAAGGACACATCTCACACTCTGATACAGCATCAAAATCTGAACAGTGAATGACTCACAGCCAGTTGGGTTCATTCAAGTGAAAGAGGAACATGATAGCTGTAACCTCTGAGAAAGGAAATTAGAAATAAACATGAATAGGATTTACAAGGCTATTATTTAGAATTGTTACTATTTATTATTTGTACCAAGATAACTGCTGATAAACAGTTTTGTCCTCACTAGCCAGTAAACTGTGCTTACTTCTAATCTGGGAATCTCTGGAAAGCCTCCAGTTATATTCATGTGTACACTAATCATAAACTGGCTTGTTATGGCCAAAAGACTGGCTGAAAAATCAACGTGATCATGTTCTAAGGCATAAGACACAAGACACTGTCAGAGATCTTTAGGCTGAATGAGCAGGGATGGGAAAAACCCTTCATCCAAACTAATGCACCTACAAGTGTAGACTGCTCTGGTTTTGAAGCTATTCATACCTTTCTGAAGCAGATGCAGAGTAATTCACAAGACTGTTTATTTCCACAGCTGACAACTCAGAATTCAGCCATTACACTGATTCTGGAGATTCTTTATCGGTTCTGCTGCATGGGGAGAGGCAGATTTTGGAGACAGAAATGAAGAGTAGTGCATGGAACAGGTCAGCCTTCAGACTTGTGTTAGACAGAGACCAATCCCAAAGGTAAGTCCTGGAAAGTATCAGAAACCAGAGAATTCCCAAAAGCTGAGGCCACAGATATTTTCAAGGAGTCTTAATTTTTAGTCCAACAGTAATATGTACAAAAACAAAAGAAACATATGCTATGAACAAAGGTACAGACCAGTCACTGAGAGGAAACTCAAAGCAGATATTCCTTGCTTGTGTTCCATCAACTACTCCTCTGGTATCTTTGACTTATGTTTCAGCTACTTTTTGTGGAAACAACCCTATGCAGACCCAAAAGCAGCTTCTTACAGTAACAGCTCAACAGCAAACCAAAATTTTAACAAGTATTAACTACCAGTCAAAAGGAATATTGAAATATATTGTATATATTGAATATTGAATATATATTGAATATTGAAATAGCTTGTATATTCTGTAAACTGATGATATTCTTCATGAAAATTTGAAGAACTTACTAATTATATTCTCTCCAGAACTAATAAGCAGATCTATCCTGGTTTTGGTTTGCTATTTTGAGGTGAATGTCTGTGCCATTTTAATGACATCTTCCAGGACAAAAAGCAACACTGGCATGAGACTACACTGTTCATTTCACTGGACTGGAGAAGGGAAGGCTAAAGAAGCAATGACAAGACACTGAAAGAGGCTTCTGAGCAGCACAGTGTGATAATTTAGATATCCACTTTCAAACCCAAGGTCAAATATTCTTTCCTTCCTCCCTCACTGCTTTTACCTTCAGGAGGTATGCACTAGATATTAACATCTCTTTCAAGTCTTTCTCTTTAAACAAGAAGTTTTTCATTCTGGTTTTGTAAGGTCACAAAAGACAACAGGTGTCTAGATCTTTAAGCAGCTCACCATAAAACATCCTATAAAGAAACCAAGGTGCTCCATTCACTTTTGGTCTGTCATTTCTACAGCTGATGCACTGCAGAAACAGAAGTTGCATCTGCCTGCAAGCTAATGAGAGTTTACAGAAGCAATAAAAAAGTTAAGAAAAGACTGCACTGTTCCAAACCTAGATTCTGGCCTGCATTTGCAAACAAGGTCTCTCTTGCCCAGTGTTTCATAGTGCTTGTCCCTGATTAAGTTCAATAGATCAAAGGGCAAATATTAATGCACTTTAAATGTTTTTAAGCCAATGTTACTTCTCACTTCCCAAAAAGGAGCAAAGTATGCCATTTGCCAAAGAATATAGTTTGTAATTTGCAATAGTAGCAAACATAAAAAGGAACATTAATTTTCTCTAATAGTCTTTCCCTAATGATAATTCACTGCAAAATAACGCCAGGACTTGGAATCCCCTGCTCTTAGAGAATAGTAACTTTAGGACAGGACAAAGACCATAACAACACAGAAGAGGCAGCACTTGCTCAGGCAATCATTTTCTCAAATGAAACTGAAGACTGACAGCAGCTCTGCGTGCAAGTAAGCACACGACTCTTTAATGAGCAATGACGTTTCAATGACTTTCAATAACCTTTACACACTGAAAGATGATAATTTTTAATTTAGGTGCCTATGATGCAGGGTCCTACAATATCCTTTTCAAAAGTCTCACTGTGTTGCATTTACCCTATGCCGTAACTTGAAGCACCATGTACAGTTTTACCTTTTTCCCTCCATTTTCATTCATATTCACCCTGGGAGGAAGATGTACAAGCACAGCAGCAGATACTAGTCTAGCTTACTAATAAAAAAAAAATTAAACTGTAAAAATGATCTCGCTAAAGCCATGTATTATTAAATATACCTTTGTCTCCTGATTTTAGCGTCCATCAAAAAAAAATCACTAAGAACCAGAGGCAGTGGATTTTTCAGGTATTCTCATTAAATCCTACCAGTTCTCAAAGCAGTTTCTAACTCAGCTCCTTCTTTTACTTTTGTTTAATATTCTGGGACTGACATTTCATATGTTTGGTCTACACTTAAGAAGTCACTTGTTTGCTTCTGGCCCTCCCTCCAAATTCAGCCAAGTACCTTGAAGTCAATGGCGTAAACAATGTGACAACAAAATAGTTCTCCCTCACTGACCACACTGTAAAAATCCCAGAGTCCTCATTTTGGTCTACAGACCAAACCTTCCAGAGCTTTTCAGAATAAATTATATTACTACTATGCATTATGAGTACAGAGACTGCACAAATAAAATCCTGTTACAGGAAGACATGGTTAAACAAGTGAAGCAGTAAGATACTAAAATATTACTGAGCTTAAAAAATTTTAAGTCAAGTTGTGGTTACAAGGGCAATAAGTTTCATTAGGAAACTGCTAAATACTAGAAACAGGAGAAGCTGCATTGTTCTGTAGTTTGTTTTATCCTCCCCTACCTCCCAACTTCGTAGCAGCTTAGTTTCTCTATTTGGTAAGTATAATTAACAGCTTTTTCATATGAGACTGTTGTTGTGGAAGAAGAACAGTTAATTTAAAAGAGATTTACTTTTTCCTGAGAAAGATAGTGAGCCTTGCAGTTCACAAGCAGCATGAACATGCTGGAAAAAAAGAAGTGCTTAAAGCAAGCTTTAAATAAACTGTGCCTGTTCTAAATTTAACAATTTTCCAACACTATTAAAGCCATGGTCTTAGCGCTGCAAGATAAAAGGTTGATTCTGCACTTTGGTAACTTTTCCACTTCTTTCTGTGGAGAGTATTCCTTCCTTCTTGTCCTTCACCGAACCAATCCTGTCACTTGACGCTGCCTGAGGGGCCGCCTGTGTTCTCTCCGCCGAGCCTGGGCACCCAGAGCCTCAGTGTGCAAAGCACTGAGCACCCACAGAAGTCGCCACTACTGGCTTTTCTTTCTTGTTCACTCTGTGACAGGGCTACAATCAATGAACTGGTGTTTTTACTCCATCGCGCAGAAAATACTTACAAAAACTACTAAATTAAAAAACTACCCTAGCTTGATGTATGTGGAAAATTCCCAGAAAAAGATTTCTTTGGTTTAACTCGGTACAGATGCTGTCTTTGACCCGTGACGAAGAGGAAGAAGCCGGGCTTTAGGCCTCCGGCTAAATCCCAATCCATCTCGGCGCACGGCCTCTGGCTCACCGGCGTCGGTTCCCAGAGGAATTTCAGTCGCGAACGCTTTACTCTGTCCCTGCACCTTATCCTGACAGCTCCGCCTGCCCCACAGGGCGCCTGCACCTCCTGTCGGGCCATCCCCCTGCAGCAACAGTTCAAGGCTTGGGGGTTCCCCATTCTGTGACGCGGCCGGGAGACAGCGAGCGATGCCTGGAGCGAGGGCTGAGAGCGGATCCCTGGCAGGACCGACCGCGCTGCCGGGGCGGGAAGGGGGTCCCGCTCCCCGCGCCTACCTGTGAGGCGGATGAAGCCGCCGACGCTCTCGGGCAGCGGCAGGCGCTTGAGGTACGCGGGCAGCTGGACCTTGACGATGCGGGCCAGAGTCTCCAGCACCATTGCCAG